AGGTGGAAATATTCTGAATGGCATCTATAAAGAATGAGATAAAGAAAAGCAAATGGATTTACAAATAACGTGGTGACAGTCAGTGTATGTCATAGAGCATTAAACTAAAGTGGGACCAATGCAGATCTGTTTGTGTTTTGTTTGTCATCAGAGCTCAGTAGTCCAAGAATATGAGAAAAGACATGACCTAAAAGACCATTCCATAATTGAGAAATAGCACAGAGAGTGAGGTGAGAGGCTGAAAGATTGAGAGCTCTGTAGAGTACAGGTGAAACAGGGGACCAGACTCATGGAACCAGGTTGGAATGGAGAGGAAGGCAGGTAGAGAAAGCCAAGAGAAGTAACTTGGCTCATAGATAAGAGAAGAGTGGAAGACCAAGAGTCACTTCTCTTAGCCTCATTTTCCTTACATGTTAGAAGAAGGCAAGGCAACCACTGCTTGACAGCATTTTTTATGATAAACATTGGCTGTGACAAGGAATAGACAGGCTGGTTTGTTGTGAGCAAGTTTCAAATATGATGTTCTAAGAAACTAATTCACAAAAAGGCAAGAATTTTCAATTTTTCTTTATAAAATACACATTCTTGTGCTTTGTGGTTATGCCTTGCCCTCTCTGCTTAACTAGACTTACTGGTATTCAGAAATCGGGGCAACATTCATAGAACTCACAGGGTGAGACCACCCTTGTTGCTTCCAACACTAACAGACCAGCACATACATCTTCACTATAACTCAACTTTGGAAAGCAAATCCCTCCAGGCAAACACAGGAGTCTGAAACCAGTATGAGTCTCCTAACTCAAGTTAACCAATTTGCTCTCTTTTCTTAGAAAGAACTATCTTCAGAGGACAGGGATTTCTAGGTGGCTCTGAGAAGAATTTCCTAAAAGCATTTAATTTTGAACATTTTTAGGGAAATGGCAGCCTTGTTGTAGTAAGTGCCTTCTCAGTAAGATGATCTCTTAGAAAGAAAGAAGATTCAGCTGGATGCTGAGACCTGTTCAGCTGAATATATTTTACTGAGTGGGGAGGCCACACGTTTGGCCACCACTTGCTGGGGACCTGCTCTGCTGAACATGTTTTTCTGAGTGGGTGACTGGGGGAGGCTGTGGATTATAAATAAACACAATAACAAACACACAAAGATACATGAGTATAGAAAAGCGAGGATTAGTTGGGCCCAACTTCTCTGATGGAGAAGTTTTAATCTGGAACCAGCCCCAGATTTATTCTTTTAAGAGCAGAAAATGGGGGAAGAGGAAATGGAATGCAAAGCCAGTGGTTTTTAGGTAATTTTTTTGGAGGGGAGAGGTTTTTGCTATAGGGCATGTGCACTCGCCAGAAAGAGAGAGAGAGACAGAGAGACAGAAAGCTAGAGATCACCCCCTTGGGGATGGCCACACCGCAATACCCTCTGCTCCTTTCTCCTCTCTGGATCTTGGGCGCGCATGCTCACGCGCCTGGCGTGAGTTTTAAGTCACCAGGTCCAGGACTCGAACTGCAGTTGACTACATGGGAATCCAGCGACATAGCCATTACACCAACTGCTGGTCCCTAGATGTAAATCTTTTGAAGATGTGAAAACCACTGGCGCCATTTAACTTTTCTGATCTTTTTGGGAAATAATCTGATAAACACATGTAACTTTCTTTAGCCTCATACCGTCCTGTAGTATTGGGTATCAGGTATTGACAAAAACAGGAAGATAACTGACAACAGGCATAGCGTTTTGTATGGAAATGCTCTCATAGCTATTGTTAATGAAACTCACAGCAGTGCTTTTCTGCATACATCTAAAGGTCACATCGTGTTTCTTTCAGACTGGCTGCTCTCCACAGTTATACATATTGCTGTTCAGCTCTACCTTTAAACTCCAGCCTGCAGTTTTTATGTGCATAATTTGTAGTGCTCCCAGAATAGTGTTATAAAAAACAGTCAGACCTTGATTAACCAGAACCCATATTCATCTATATTACAATCAGAATTTGCATTTGGCTTCAAGAAGAAAAGAAATTAAAATAAAATATAATATCTGGGTTTTATTTTATAAAGTAAAATTTGACCTAATCAAAGAAACAGCAACCAAAGAATCTGGCCCAATACCCAGTGAAAATCCAGAATCTATGCGCATCTGATGTGGGCCTAGCCCTGCACCATTAGCCAGAAAGCTTCTGCCCCAAACCTCTTCTTCTGGCCCAATACCCAGCAAAAAGTCAGGTAGGGTGATCTCTGTCTTCTTTATGTCTCTGTCTCTCTCAGTCCCTCTCCCTTTCTCTCAAAAGTTTTCTCTTTTATGTATACGTTTTTAAAAAATCTGTAGGTACTGCCTCTTGTCTCTGACCTCTCCTTTCTCTTGCTAATTTCAGAACCCATGTGTATCTGAGGTGGGCCTACCCCTGCTTCTTTCATGTGACACACTAGCATGCCTCACAGATATCAGTTTTTTACAAAAGAAATTTTTCCCTTTCATTGTTTTGTGTTGTCTTTTTTTTTGTCTTTTCCCCCTTTATTTCCTTTTTTATTACTTGACTTTCTCACCTTGCTTCTCATCTTCCACACATTGAGTGTCTAGGCAGGTCTAGATGCACAGTATTGAAACATCTGAATACTTAAACCACACAGCTTAGCCCTGGTGAACTTATTCCCTTGAAACTCTGAGGGATTTGTAATATTCAGTTCCATTGACAAAAGTGCAGGTTGCTTGGTGAGTATCAGAGACATAGAACTGCAGAAATATTGCAGGTTATCTCCTTCCACACACCTCTAATACTCAGAATTAACTACAAGAAGGTAGGAAGTAATGTATAACCAACCAGATGACTAGAAACCACCACCACAGAGGTACAGTATAGCCAGATTGACCAAAACCACACAGAGAGACAAGATACTAAAATTGTCAAGAGAAAAAAAGCCAAGTCACTTTCAAAAGATATCCTATCAGGCTAACATTGAACCTCTCATTGGAAACAATGTGAGCAAGGAAAGAATGGGAAAATATATTCAAACTGTTAAGTGAAAAATAATTTTGACTAAAAACACTTTACCCAGCAAGACTATCCTTCATGTGGAAAGAAAAGATAAAAACATTCTCAGATAAACAAAACCTGAAAGAATTTACCAATACCAGATCAACTCTTTGAGAAGTTCTTAAGGGAGTACTATACCAAGAAAACTAAGAAAGATAAATAAGAGAACAAAAAATGACCAAGAAAAAGTCCAACTTTATGGTAGAGACAAGTTCTGAAATATCAATAATAATGCTGAATGTTAATGGAAAGGTCAGACCACAGTAACACTGCAAATTCAACAAAAGAGATTACACAAAAGAGAGATTACACAAGACTAAAATAGAATTCTATGATTTTTTTCTAAAATAGTACTGAATTTCTTCTATGATTTGTCTTCCAGATTTAAAGATGTTTTTCTTTTGAGTTGTTGTGTTCAGCAATTCGTTAAAAAAAAGAGTTTTTAAAATAAAAACATAAGCTTCCTGATTCCTTTACAATTGGAAAATATTTGTGAGCATTCTTATTTTGTGTCAGAATGGTTATTTGCATAAGTTTGATAATACAATAGTATCTGTTGCCTTGCCTCAGAAATTGAATTCTTATGGGGCTTTGTGCAAATAACAGACCAAATTGAGATTAACCTTTTTTACTTTTCTGCAAATAAGTTAGTTTATACCTATCTTTAGTAAAAGGGGTAATGGAGAGAGAAAAAAAAAGTTTCAGAAGAAAATTACTGTATACTTTTCACTAGATTCTAGCTTTGCCCATACTTTAAGATCTTTTGTGAATCAATAAAATTTGAAGAAAACAGTTTAGTATGGAAGGGAAGGAGGGTAAAGGGGAAGAAAAAAATGGGTAAAAGTATGCTTAACTGACAAAAAATGAGAAGCTACTTTCTGATGATAATGTATATAGTAATAGTCTTGTCTTGACTGACATGCATGGTATTGGTGTTGGAAAAAGTGTCTGCACGCTAAATGTATATATATATATATATA